TGTGGAGATGGCTGGTGGGGTGATGGGTTTGGTTCCCCCCCCCCAGCATCTTGAAGGTTTTAGGGCTAAAATTTACAGGGTTTTTAAAGGACATTTTAAATGTATGTTTCTATTTTAATTATTTATGGATTTTAGCCATTGTTGGAGGGACTGGTGTTTTTTTCCCCCTTTTTTGTTATTGTGAGCCGCCCAGAGTCACCCGTTGGGGGAGATGGGCCCCATACAAGTTTAACAATAAAATAAAAAAAATAAAAATAACGGGCACCAAGGATTGAAGGAAATTGGCATAGCAACCCTCAGACCGCTGGAGTGCTGCTGTTATTAGGAAATCCTGAAGCAGGGGATCAACATGAAAAGGTCTTCCCAGGCCCCCTCAAACCAGAAGCTAGTTACACTACTCAGAATATTTCCCCAAATCTTTATTTATTTACTATATCTGTAGACTTTTCAGGCCACCAGATTCTGGATGGTGTACAAAAACATAAATCCAACCCATAAAATAAAACTTTAAATGCATACCTAATCCTTTTGTATATTCCATTTTTTAAAAATAATTTTTTATTAAAAGTTTTAAAGAGAACATAAAAACTCATACAGGATAAAGAAAGAAAGAGAGGAAAAAGAGCAAAAAGAGAATAAAAAGAAATAGAAAGAAGAAGCTTCTGATTTCCTTTGCAGCAAATATAAGTATGTAATCCTTTTGTATATTCTACATTGATACCCTGCAACTAGCCTTAATTTGTGGGCAAACCTATCTCATTTTAAAAAAAAGCCTTCCTACATTATGCAAGATCTGAAAGGCAGTAGAGGGGGCTGATTAAGGTATTGGAATAACGATGACAATCTTAGGGAAACCTAACCTTAAAAGAAGTGGCATTATGAAGGGGGCAGCTGAATCCCACATTCCCATGGTCTCCTGTATAACAATATCTGAATGGCTGCTTTTTATAATAATAAAAAAGCAGCGGGGCGAGAAGGCAACCGGAACACAGTGGACGCGGCACGAAATGAAATGAAATGCTGATTCCCACACCCCACCCCACCCCACCCCACACCAGTGCTTTGCTTCAGATTGCTCCAATGCCATTCCCCACCACACATAAATTCATCCATTTTCTGTTACGTCAAATCGTTGGATTCATAAACCATGCCACAGGGCTGGGCTTATCTTTCAGTCTAAGGCACCCAGGCATCGTTAACCAAGTTGACACGTTGGGCCAATAGAGCTATTCGGTCTGGTTAAACACAATGTTGAACAGAGTTTCAGATGTGAGATTGTGGCTGCACACGCCCTTCAGGATGCCACAAGAAGAAGAGGAAGCACTTGTGGATGGTTTTGTAACACAGAAGCATCAAGTGGAAGAAAATGCCAAAAATGTCAAAATGCAGCACTTCTATTGCTGTTCCTCTCCTGGTTTTCCCTTGCTTTTCTCCCTTCTTTAGTTTTGGAAGAAGCCATAAAAGCTGTATTACACTTGCTGGCATGCCACCTTCTCTACGTTGGATGGGGACTTTCCTCCTACGCCCACTGAGAGCCAGCCACAGACTCTCAGAATGAAGTTGTTGTCTAGAACAATAGTCCCCATACTTCTTTGGTTGCACACCCTGATAGTGAAAAACTGACAGTAAAAATGTGTTGAGCGTGGACCCCATGTATAAATTATATGCATCTGATACTGTACTAATATGTTGCGTACATTATAAAACACATCCTCAAAATACAAATACTATATTTTATATCCTGCATATTAGTATAGCTTAATATCTTATTTTTTAGATAAATTAATATTTTCTTCCTGCACCCCATTGTATCGTCTTGCAGAACGCTGGGTTGGTGATGTTCCCCTCTTTGGAGAACATTGGTTTAAAGAAACAGTATTGAGTGAGTCAGCTCTGATGTTAAGCTCTAAGACTGTCTGCAAAGAGATACATTATGATCATTGGAGCTGTTTGGTACAGCAAAATGCCTGTTCTTGAGAAAAGCCGACATGTTGTACATCTTTTGCATCTGAGCATTTTAAATTTAATTTTTTTTTTAAAGCAGGCAGCTGGCAGCGTCAGGGATTGTGATATGCTGATAATGAAGTCCTATGGTAGAAACAGTATTTTTCTCCCTCAATTCCATCTCACCACAATAGCTAGGATTAAGCGTGGGGAATACGATGCTTCAGCCCCCACTCTCTGGGAGAACCTGAGATCCTGAGAGCCAAGGCAACACAATGGCCTTGCCTGAGAAACTAATTAATTTGGGACCCCAGTGTTGAGGAATTTGAGCACCCAAGACTGCAGCCAAAGACCTTTCTCATTAAGAAGTGTGCATCCATCAGTTTGGGGAGGACCTGCCCTGAGGATTATAAGTCTCCTGAGCAATTTCAGTCTCCTACTACTAACTTCTAGCTCTGGTGAAGGGGGCCTTATAGGAGGAGAAAAAATCCCCCTTCCCTCTACTCAATGCCATGTTTTTGTTGAGGTTGTAGGAAGGTTCTGCATCTTAGAAGAGCTGTCAGCCCAAACCACAACAAGCAGGGTCACAGTGCTATCCTGAACACAAGAATTCTGGATTAACCAACCCTGTTCCTCCACAATCTGAGAAAGCCCTTTCCTAGGAACCAGGAGGTCACAGTGGTAGGCAGCCCTATAGAGGGTGGATCTCTCCCCGCCCCCATCCCTGTCACTGCAGTGTGAAGAGAAAGAGTGGAGGCAAATGCAGGAGACACTGTCTGCTGGGGATCTTGCGTGATGATTCAGCCTGCAAGATCTGCAGAATGAAGTGAGAGGGGCAGAATCGAGGGACAATCAAAACTGTAGGTAGTGCCTGGATGTGTCCTTTATTATGTTATTCTATCCAAGCCCATTTCTGCTTTAGAAGAAGAAAGATATTGGTCAAGGATGCTTAAATTTGGGGTTCTGCCCTAAGGGAAGGGTTGACCAGATAGCTGAAATGGCCTCCTCCGAATTTATGTAATGCACTTTCCTGGCATATTCTTGCCTTGCCATAACTTGAGGAGGTTAAATAAGAACAGAAGGGAGGGAGGGAGGGAGGGAGGGAGGGAG